CCTAGCACCGTCAGAATAAGTTCCACCTGCGTTTTGCTGCTAGCTGTTAGCCAGCTGACCTCTTAGCACTAGCATTAGCTTGGCACCGTCAGAATGAGTTCCAGCTGCGCCACTTGTTTGGGTCTTTCTGTGTGACGTGAGAAGGTTGTTTATTAAACCTCCAACAGTGAAGTGAATCTCTGTCTCGCTGCGTAGACACTCGCTGTGATTGGCTGCAGCTCCTGACAGCCAATCAAGTAGCGCTGTGGGTGGGAGAGCTGCTGCATTAGCGCCAAAGGAGAACAGTTTTTATTTTGCCATAATCGGGCAAAAAATATAATATCAATCATGGAATAGATGCGTTGGCTGCACCGATAATCGATCAGTCCGTAATAAAAGTTTGTGTAAATGTCCTGATTTTATTTAAATGTCCTGAAACATCCTGACCTGCACAGATGTCCTCAGGTTTTCTAAGTTAGGCTGAAAACGTCCTCACCGTGTGCATATCTCTTTTCTAAATGTCCTCCCTTGGTCGACTGTCCTCTGCAGGCTCCTGTTGCTCCGCCCTCCGACTCCGACGACGACAGCGGCTCTCGGTCTCGCCTCAAAACCAAAGGAGCAAAGAAAGGAGGCAAAAAGGCGTCGGACGATGACGAGGACGCAGACGAGGACAAAGCGGTGAAGAGAGGAGAAGCGAAGGACGACGAGTCCGAGGATGACGAGGAGTTCACCTCCAGGAGGGACAGGAAGAAGAAGAACAAGGCGAAGGCGCCGAGCGACGACGAAGACGAGCAGCAGGACGACGAACCCGAAGGCTTCAGGATGAAGACGGCAGCGCAGAAGAAGGCGGAGAAGAAGGAGAGAGACCGCAAGAAGAAGGAGGAGGAGAGGATGAAGCAGAAGAAGCTGAAGGAGAAGGAGAGCGGCGTCGACGTCAAGAAAGAGCTGGAGAAGACAGCAGAGGCCACGCCCCCTCAGGTGGCCCCGCCCACTGCAGTGATGGAAGAGCAGGAAGGGGCGGAGCCAGCAGCGGAGGGTAAGACTGGTCACCAACAAGACGTTACACTCTGTCAGAATATTAATGAGCCTAAAATAAACACTTCCAAGTTAGTAAATGATCCGTCTGCTGTCTTTGTGCAGAGGAGGCCGAAGGAGACAAGAAGAAGAAGGACAAGAAGAAGAAGAAGGGCGAGAAGGAGGAGAAAGAGAAGGAGAAGAAGAAGGGACCCAGCAAGGCCACAGTGAAGGCCATGCAGGAGGCGCTGGCCAAGATGAAGGAGGTGGGGCATCCTGGGAAATGTAGTGGTGAAGCCGAGGTCGAGGTGGAGCCTGACGCTGGTGGTGCTTGTTGTTGTTGCAGGAGGAGGAGCGAGCTAAACGGGAGGAGGAGGAGCGTCAGAAGAGGCTGGAGGAGCTGGAGAAGCAGCGGCAGGAGCAGGTAAGACAGCCACAGCTGCACCTCCATCACCTCCATCACCTCACCGCCGCTGCTGGACTCTGACGCCTCGGTTCTCCCCAACAGGAGCGTCTGGAGCTGGAGCGCAAGGAGAAGAAGAAACAGAAGGAGAAGGAGAGGAAGGAGCGGCTGAAGAAGGAGGGAAAGCTGCTGACCAAAGCCCAGAGAGAAGCTCGAGCTCGGGCCGAGGCCACGCTCAAGATGCTGCAGGCTCAGGGTGGGTGTGGAGGCGGGGCCGGCCAGTGGGGGCGCTGCTGAGGCTTTCAGTATCGTCACCTCAGTATAGTCACTTAAATACAGCCACGCTCAGATGTAGTACACATGCCGTCCTGCGGGGGCGCTGCTGAGGCCTCACCTGTGTGTCCTGGTGTCTCCAGGTGTTGAAGTGCCATCCAAAGACTCGTTGCCAAAGAAGAAACCAGTTTATGGGGACAAGAGGAGGAAGAAGCCGAGCGCCCAGACCCCTGAAGGTAGCGCCACCTGCTGTTGTGTCTCTTTGTCTCCAGTTCAGCTCATTTTTGCCTTTTT